GTGCTAGAATAATCTCTGCATGCTGAAGTGGAGTGGGGAAGTACTGGGGATGGAACGCAGGGCCTCTGGCATGCTAGGCAATCATTCTACCAACTGGGCCATCTCTCCAGCCCTGACTTTACAATGTACAGACAGACAGTAGGCACACAAGTGAACACAGAAGTGTGTATGTATGTGGGTAAGTACAGATACATACATACATTTCTTAGTTCTGACAGTTAAAGGCCTAAGAGCAATGATAACCCAGTAGAAATGAGCATACCTCGTGTCCAGACACTAGTTTCTAAATACTATTCTTCAGTAATACAGACCTGGGTTCCTTGCAGAATAGGGGCATTTGAGGGGGGGATAAAGAGAAAAACACAAATGAATTTGGAGTATCTTATAGAGTCACAAATTGCATTAAAAAAAAACAAGGAAACAAATGTAAAAGTGCTCCCAGTGCCAAAGTTGGGACAATGTGAGCACCAAAATAAGTAACAGTAGTGATTGTATCCCAGAGAATGGAGTAAGTATTCTTGAGTTCCCAGAGCTGTAGGTACATGATTAAATAAACAGATGTGGGGAAGGACTGCTACTCTTCCTAGAGGAGAACTATAATCAGTAAGTGTACACAGAGCGAGGTAAAGAGAATCATCACTGAACACCACAGTCACAGCAGTGTCTACTACTGTGAGAGGACTAGAACACGAGTGGAATTCTATCCAAAATTTAGGGTTAAAACATGTAATCCTAGGTACTGAGACAGAGATCAGTAGGATGACAGTCTGAGGCAGCCTGGGCAACAGTTAGCAAGACCTTATCTCACTCAACAAAAAGCTGGGTGTGGTAGCAATGTCTGTCTTAATAGCTACATGGGAGGTATAAATGGGAGGATCATAGTACAGGCCAGCCTGAGCAAAAATTTGATGCCTTATTTGAAAAAGCCAAAGCAAAAGGGGCTGGGAGGTGTGGCTCAGGAGGTAAAATGCCTGTCCAGCAAGAATAAGGCCGTGAGTGCAATGCCCAATACCACCACAAACAACAACAGAACATTTAAGGAGCCTCAAAATATTTTCCCCAAAATATTTATTAAGAGAAAAACATTAACTTTACAATGGGGAAATCTGGCAGACACCACCACAATCAAGTGACCAAGGTAACATCACCCCTGATATCAGGTGCTATGAAAGGCCTGTGACTTCTGTGGTATTCTTTCCCAAAATTTGTAAGTTCAACCTAATTATGGAAAACAGAGAGAAATTCTAATTGAATAACATTCTACAGAACATGTAACCATAGTATCAAAGTCAAGAACAACAAGAAAGAGTGAGAAACCATCACAAGTAGACTAAGGGAGTACAATGTAATTAAATGTAGCACTGGGTTGTGGGAAAATGGTGGAAGTCTGTAATGTAGTAAGTCAATGTTGATTCTTGAATTTGGATCACTTTACAATGAATGTCTAAAATGTTAGTATCAAGGATGCCGAATAGAGATTTTACAACTCTTTACTAACTTTATAACTTAACTGTGTACCTAGAATTATTTCAAAATAAAAAGTTGTTCTAATTAAAGATCAAAAACACCAACAAACTCTATCCTTCCCTTTCAAAGGTGTGTATTCTGTGCCTGGTGTGTAGAGTAGGTTCTGTGGATAGATTACTTCTCCTAGAACAATTCCATTTGATAAAAAATAACCGTGTGAACAGTACAGCAGCTGAAAACATGTTACTTAAAGTTCCTTTAACAAGATCCCAGTGTTCAATGACAGCAAATGTCTTTACATTACCTCCTGCGAGGATGAGCCCTGGAGCTTTATTTTTGAACTTGCCATGTGTTCTCTGAAAGACAAGCAATATACTCAATCTAAGGAAAATCTCTGCCTATCTTTAATACACACAGATTTAATTTGAGTAATTCTGTCAAACTGACATTGAGTCACAATTTGATTTCTAAAATGAAAAATTTTATGCTGACTTAGAAAAATCCAACTAACCTAAGATTTTATGGAGAAAAAAAAAATCAAAGTATGAACTTTTTGTATGTTTATTTCCCTTTATTTTTAAGTATAACCAAAATGTAAATGAAGGAAGCTTAAAAATGTTTTAAGCTAGGATTCCAACAGAGGCAAATTTTCAGTCACTTACAAGGAAACTGCTATCATTTAAAAGTCAATTTTACATATTTATTCCTACTGTTTGTTCCTAAGTCTCAGTCTTCCACATTCGATTAAGGCAGACTACCACTGAGCACACAAAACACTAAGTGGCCTCATCACCACATCTGAGCTGTCAGGATCCCACCCCTTCTTCTACAAGTTAATTTTGTCACCTTTCATAACTCAAAAATACCAGTACTCTAAATCTAAATCCATACTGATTTAAATATAAAATGCAAAATGGTATAAAAAGGGGCAAAATATTTTCTCTTGGATAAATTTCCAGATTTGCCCCCTTAAAAAGTAAACTTTAAAGTCTTAAATTTGCTTCCTAAGAACAGAAGCAAGCACAGATACCTCATGCAAGTCTATTAAGAAAGCGAATGTACCTCACATTAGGCATGACATAAAAGAGGTTGTTTTTCACATCAAATAGTTCTCACAAGATGAAGATTACAGACACTTATTTTTGTTTAGATTTTGGTGTCCAAAACGGGGCAATTTCTTACTTCGATCTACTGGTGAAGTGTAAAATGTACGCTTTTTCTTTGGCCAAGAGGTTTCTGAGACACACGGCAAACATGTTACAGACTTTCTAGACTCATCTTAAACATTCCCAATTTCAGGGTCACAAGCAAGCACAATCATGTTTTGTACCCACACGATGGGCTCCAGGACTCCCAGGGAAACCAAACCACAGGTGCTCAAAGTCCCTTAGGCCTTAGTGTCCGCATATAGCATACAAGGATCCACTTCAACATTTCTAGGTCACTTACATGACACCTACTACACGTCAGCAGTTATTAACGCTGTATTGTTTAGGGACTAATCACCAGAAAGTTGTTTGTATAGATGTTTTCACAAATGTTTTCTACTCAAGGTTGGTGGACTTCAACAACGTGGAATTTGAGAAAGAGGGCCAGCTGTCTAAGTGGTTCAGTTTCAACCTCAGAGAGAAATGTAATTCAACTTCAGCTGCTAAATGTGGTTTTACGTTAGCACATTGTCATTTTAACTTCATATACTAGAAACCACTTATTTTACTAGAACAGATATTAAGAGCAATCATTACTCTCAAAATCTTACTAGTTCTGCCTAAGTTCACTAGGAAAGACAAAATATAATTAACATGAGTATGTTTTAGAGCAGGAACAAGCCTGATACCTATCACATAAACTATTTTTTAAAAACTAAGCAAAATGAAGAATGCTACCACATGGCATGAAACAGATAACAGCATGAAGTTTTTGTTTTTTCCAGATTCTGGGGTTTGAGCACATGCAAGGCAGGTGCTCTACCATTTTAGCCATCCCGCCAGCTCTTTTTTATTGTGTGTTGGGTATTTTTAAGATAGGGTCTTGAGAACTATTTGACTGGGCTGGCCTCTCATCTCTGCCTCTGCTTCCTGAGTAGATAGGATTACAGGAATGGGCCACCAGCACCTGGCATAAGATGCTGGGGAGCTGGGTGCTTGGTGGCTCACGCCTGTAATCCTAGCTATTCAGGAGACAGAGACCAGGAGGATCGTGGTTCAAAGCTAGCCTGGGCAAACAAACAGTTCCGCAATACCCTATCTTGAAAAAACCTTTCACAAAAAAGGGCTGGTGGTGTGGCTCAAGATGTAGACCCTGAGTTCAAGCCCCAGTACCACAAAAAAAAAAAAGAGATATGTTGGGGAACATATTTGGTGCATTTGTGTTCACTTTTTCTTTTTCTATTTTGGTGGGACTGCGGTTTGAACTCAGGGCTTTGTACTTGGAAAGCAGATGCTCTATTGTTTGACCCACACCCCCAGCCCTTTATGCTTTATTTTTCAGATAGGATCTTGCATTTATTCCCAGGCCAGTCTAGACTGTGATCCTCCTATTCATTCTTCCTGCATAGCTGGGATGACAGGAGACCCCAGTCTCACTAACTTTGCCGGGGCTGATCTCGAACTGCAATCCTCCCAATCTCTGTCTCCCGAGTAGCTAAAATTACAAGTGTGAGCCACAGTGCTCAGTCAGTTTTATTTTCTAAAATCAGTTATTTCAGAAAACTACTAGTTCTAAGAAATAATACAGATGTTCCACTTACTTCAATATGCTAGGCCTAGTATAGGTGCATATTCAAAGTTCGAATTACTTTTTATACTACAACCCTTACTGACAACTAAAAGCAGCTACCATTTCACTTCTTATAATTACACAGTATAGTAAGACACCCTGATTCAATCTTTTAGGGCAACAGGAATCAGCAAACTTTTCAAAAGAGACATATTTCAGACTTGTGAGCGATAAGACACTGTTGCAATTAGTGAGCTCTGGTGTTACAGTGCTATGGATTGTTTGTAAAAAATGGTCATGGCTATGTTCTAAAAATCCTAGTCACTTGGGAGGCTGAGATCATTCAGAGGACTGTGGTTTGAGGCCAGCTCTGGCAAACAGTTCATGAGACTCCATCTCCAAAATAACCAGAGTAAAACGGACCTAACATGTAGCTCTAGTAGTAGAGTGTCTGCTTTGCAGTGTGAAGCCCTGAGTTCAGACCCCAGCACCCCCAGACACAAAAAAAACTTTATTTACCAAGATAGGTGACCAGGCTTATGAGCCACAGTTTGGTGACTCCTGCTGTAGGCAAACAGGTTTGTTTTTCAATATATAATACCTTCAGTGAGCAAATAGTCATATTTCCTTTATTCTTGGTAGCTGTTAACAAGGAATACTAGCTATCTAAATGGTAAAGGAACCATAAAAACATTTTCTGAGGTCAGAATCTCTACTTAGACTAGAAAACTAAAATGTGTTAATGAAGTACACATAAAATGTAAGTATGAAAATGCACAGTAAGGGCATGATTACATTTTATTAAATAATCTTACCTTAAACAAATGAAAGATTCTAAATTCTAGCACATTTCTGGCTTCAATTCAAAGTACATTTGAATCAAAACTTCAGTTTCTTGTTAAAATCCTAGAAAGACAAGACGTAAAACCTTTAAGTTGGGTTCCAGCTTCAGAAAAATGGAGTAACCACACTCCAATCTACATCTCCAGGAAGCAGCAGCTGCAAGACCTGGCTAGAAGGCCTGAGAGCAATAGTAGCAGGCAGCTCGTGTCAGGAGGCCAGACCTGAAGCACCACAGAAGTAAAGGTGGGATACCATTCTGTTCCCTTGTCTCATCCAACACGAATGTCACAGAGCCCAAAGAAAAGCTTCCTGGTTTAGTCATGACAAAAGGGGGTCTCCCAACCCTCACAAGACAGTGTGAAAATCTTACACTGCCCTCTCCTTTCCATTCTCTTAGCCCAGCTGCCTGTGGCAGCTGTGGCAGCAGTAGCAATGGAGGCCATCAGAAGTCTGTTACTAAGGTAAGGAAGGATATGGGGAAATCCCGGGTGCTTCCTTTGGGTTCTCCTGCCACTTTGCCCTAGAGATGGCACGGATGCAGACAATGCATCATATCAAGAGAGAAACAGAATCACATTTTTCTGCTCAGATACTGGAAAAGGGGAGCCCCAGGGAGATCACAGACAAGAAGGTTGGGAGAGCACCTTCCAGTTGTCTATGAACTGTGCTCCCCCTTAAGTGGCAATGTATGCATCTGACCAAGCAAACATGTACAGACTCTGAGAACTGAACCATGGGAAACAGAATACCTTCCCAGCTCTAGGCTGGTCATGGCTGGTATGCACATGGGACAGTCCACACAGCACAGCAAAAGCTTTGAAAAATGAACTGGCATTGTAACCACAACCCACAGAAACTTGGGTCGAACCTAATGGGTTGAATGCCTATTGAAACAAATACATCCACATTCTGCCCTGGATTTACACAAGACCCAAAGTCTTGTAACGTGGTTGTCAAATGTCCAGGATATAATTCAAAATTACTAAGGACAGAAAGAAAATCTCAATTTGCATAAGAAAGATGCCAACACCAAGAAAAACTGGTATTGGACTTATCTGATAAAGATATTAAATTATCACAGAATGCTTCAACAAGAGCAAACATTCTTGAAACAAGTGGAAAAACAGGAATCTCAGAAAAGAAACACAAAATCTGAGGAACCAAATAGGAATCTGGGAAAAATATCAACAACCCAAATAAAAAGTTCACTGAAATGACTTCAGTAGGAGAATGGAGATGGCAGAAAAACAACTTAGTGAACTTGAGAGGGAGGGAGAGAGGGGGAGAGAGAGAGAGAGAGAGAGAGAGAGAGAGAGAGAGAGAGAGAGAGAGAGAAGCTTTCCCTATCTGTTTTTCCACCAGCAGAAAGTAGCAAAAAAGGGGGAAGTGAAACACAAAGCAAGCAGAAGAAATGAAATAATAAAGAGCAGAAATCAAAGAAACATGAACGTGAAATAAGCTGGGCATCAGTGGCTCATGCCTGTCATCCAAGCACTCAGGAGGCAGAAAAATCGCAGTTCAAAGCCAGCCCAGGCAAATAGTTCCTGAGACCGTCTCTAAAACAACCCAACAAACAAAAAAAGAATCTGGTGGCGTGGCTAAGTGGTACAGTGTCTGCCTAGCAAGTGTGAGGCCATGAGTTCAAACCCTAGTACAACTATCAGAAAAAAAAAAGGTGAAATTATACAGAAAAATCAGTGGAACAAAAACTGGTTCTTTGAAAAGATCACTAGAAACTATTCCTATCAAGACTGACAAAGACAAAATGGAAAGAATACAAATCTCAATATTGGTAGAAATGAGATTTCACTACAGACCCATGAACATTTTAAGGGTAATAAGGGTGTATTGTGACAACCTAACACACACAAGTTCAACAACTTAGATTAAATGGACCAATTTCCTGAGACCACAAAGTACCAATGTTCGTTCTGGGTAGAAACTACTAGTCCCTGAACTCCCAAATAAATTCTATCTGCAGATAAAACTTTTACGAAAAAGGAAACTTCCAGGTCCAGATGGTTTCACTAACGAGCTGATCAAAAAAGAAGTAACACCAGACTGCTAAGATTGGGAAGGAAGCAAAACAACTATAGCTGCTTAAAAATGATAGAGTTAGTCAGAAAATTTCAAGGAATCCAAACACAGAAAACCTCCTGGAACTAATAAGTGAGTTTATTAAGGTCAAAGAATACAAGGTCAATACAAAACACATTTCTACACACTAACAATTTAGAATCCCAAAATTTCAAAATCATGTAATTCAAAATAGCTCTATGAAAAATAAAACATATAAAATCTAATAAAAACATACATGGGATCCATATGCTAATAACTACAAATCTTGATAAAACTAAGTCAAAGAAGACCTAAAACTGTGGAAAAGACATGCTGTACTGATAGACTAGAAAGCTTCATTAATTCTCCTCAAACTCTTATACAGGTCTCCAATAAAAACCCCAGGATTGCTTTTGTAGTTATACACAAACTGATACTAAAATACAGAAAGGCAATAGGACTAGAAAAGCCAAAAATATTTAAAACACAAACACTGGAGGAATCCCACTATCTCATTTTAAGTCTTTAAGCTGCTTATCAAGACAATGTGCTAGTGGTGAAGAGAAGAGACTGGTGTGTCCATAAACAGGTTCACAAAAACATGCCAACAGATTTTTTTCACAGTCCAACTTTTAATAACAAGACAAAAGAATACAAATGTCATCAACAGTGAAAGAAGAAATGACAAGCATAGTCAGAGTGGTTTACTATTTAATACAAAAAATAATTTCCAGTTTATAGTAAAGACACTGCCCACCCATGTTTACTGCAGCACTATTCACAAGAGCCCCACTATGGAAACAGCCCAGATGCCCACAACTGACAAATGGATTGAGAAAATGTCATTCAGTCATAAAGAACAAAGTTTTGTTGTTCACAGGTAAATGGATGGAACTGGACATATCAAGTGAAGTTAGTGAGGTTCAGAAAGACAAAGGTCGCATGTTTTCCCTCACATGGAAGACGGATACAATACAAACACAAGCATTATCATATGTATACATAAATATATTCAAGACATGTTTCCAAAAGTGAGAGTGTTAGAGGAGACTAAGGGAGGAGGCAAAGAAGAATGACAGAGAGAGAAAATTAAGGAATTATATCACAGCTGTGTAGGAACAAGACACAACTAAACACACTGAAAATTGTTCAACAATACAGGACGGGGAAGTTTGAGTGATTTAAGCATAGTATGTTTACAGATGAAATACCTTAAACAAGGGTGGGAATGTACCAGGTGATGTTAGGGGAGGATAAATGAAGAGGGTAAAGGAGGGTGACCATGGTTAGGTACTTTCTACGCCTGCATGAACATCGACACTGATACATGCTGCAGTTATTTTAAGAAGGAAACTGGATAGGGAGATCAATGGAGGGGATGAACCAAACTGGGGTGTAATATATATATATATGGAAATGTCACAATGAAACACCTGTAAAACTATCACATACTAATAAAAATGTTAAAAGATAATTATGCAGAAAATAATTAATTTCAACTAAAGAAAACACCAACTGACTCTTGACAAAGGTGCAAAGGCAGTAATATGATAAGGAGATGGTGCTGGAATAACTGAGCATCTGTGTGCAAAGAAGATAGGAACTTCACCTAAGCTCCTCACCATACACAAAAGTTAAGTCAAAATGGATTACAAACCTGATATAAAATATAAAGCTAAAACACTTTCACAAAATCTCTATAACCTGAAACTTGGCAGAGAGTTACTAGATATGCCACCAAAACACGATTCATAAAAATAGAGTGTGACAGATTAGACTTCATCTAAGCTCAGAACTTTTGCTCTGGAAAGGCGTCTTTAAGGCAATACAAAGATGAGCTACAGACTGGGTACTGAGTGACAAACTGGACAAAGGACTTTCTGAATATAGATGGAGCTCTCACACTCACAATGAGAAAATAACCAAGTGAATGTGAGCAAAAGCACACAGATAGTGGTTAAAATCCAAAAACCTCAAACCAAATGCTGCCAAGGGTGCACAGCAAGGATGAAAATGCCACACCCACTTTTGAAGTCGGTTTGTAGTGTCTCATAAAGCTAAATACACACTTACCCTATAACCCAGAAATTGAGCTACTACTGGCTATTTACTCAAGTGAACCAACAACTTATATTCATATAAAAATCTGTGTGCAAATATTTCATGAAGCTTTATTTATAATCATCAAAATAGGAAGCAATCAAAATACTCGGATAGGTAAATGAATAAACAAAGTATACCTATACAGAAGTAGAATATTATGCAGGAATAAAAAAGAATTAACTATTTTATTCATGCAACAGTGGGGAGAAATCTTAAATACATTTTGTAACAAGTGAAAGAAATTACTCAAAAAGCAATACATGATTACACTCACAAGACCCACTGGAAAAGCCAAAACTAAAGGAAAGAAAAGAGATTAGTGGTGGTCACAGGTGACTGGCACAATGAGGATGCAGCAGGGAGTTTGTGGTGTGATAGAATTTTCCGTATGGTACCGTGGGGTGGTCCATACAAGACCTTGTGCATTTGTTAAAAACCCATAGAACTGTGTACCACAAAGGCAGAACTTTTTTGGTTTTTGGGTATTTTTTGGAGACAGGGTCTCACTATGTAGCCAAGACTGGCTATGTAGTTCAGGCTAGCCTTGAAGTTGAGAGCCTCCTGCTGTAGTTTTTAAGCGCTGGGATCACAGGCATGAGCCACCATGCCCAGCCAAGACAGAACTTTAATATTTGGAAATTAAAAAAAAAGCTAACACGTTAATGGAGTTTTAAGACAGATTGCAGCCTATGACAAATGAATCTTGACTGCATTTAAATTAATGACATAACCTCACCGAGCAGGCTTGGGTACATTTGTTCCTCATAGCAATACTGGCTAACAATTCTCAACTTGCTTCACTAGAAAGGAACAAATAAAAGAGCAAGCAAAGACAGGCTTCTCAGCAGGAGAGAACAGTTACAGATTAACAAAGCAGGAGCCTAAAATGAACCTGTGGTACT